CCCCAGTATTTCTTCACCTGCTTTTGCAGAAGCCGTATCCAAAACATTGACCCGTTTTCTTTCTTTCATGCTCTTCGTGCCTCTTCGCAGAAGATGACAGCCTGTCTCCTAGGACCAAGGATCCAGTGCAAGGCAGTCTCCCCTCCTGCTCAAGGGGGACAACACTGAAAAAGAACATGCAGGGTAAAGTCCCTCAGTGACTGGGGGGTTCTGGGCCGCCATCGTTTCTCAGGGACCGTCTGGTGGACTCCATACCTCAGGCCAGGGCTAACTCCTGTGGTCCCCCCTCGCACGCGCAGCATGCTGTCGGTGACACAGCTGTCTCCCTACGAGTCGGGAGCCAAGGGGTTTCCACCCAGTACCCCCAGAAGGTACCCGTGCCCTGCCTGCTGGGGCAGAACAGGAATTCTTGTCTGGGGTCCTCTGTGGCGCAGAGGAGCCTCCGGAACCGATCGCCATTTTGGCGAGGTAACACGTATTTGTGCTTTCAGACGTAGCTCACACTGATGCGGAGCTCATGTCCTCCATGATGCAACAAATCACTCTGTTGGAACAAAAAATAGAGAAACAAGCACAAGAAATCCAACTGAAGGTAAAAATCCTGCCCCTTACTGAACCTGTTCTGGGCCCTGTTTTGGTGCTTGAAGGCACGGTAGCATTTCACCGGCTCTGACCTAGCTCGCGCTAAAACAAGTTGATCTGTGGCCTGCTCTGTTAATGGCACAAACAAGCCTTTGCAAAGCAGCAGAGCAACTGCCTCGGTTCTTGGGGTGGGAGAGCAGACAGCCCCGGCTGTGACTTCAAGTAAAGACTCTCCGCGCCCTTCCATGATCTCATTAGCTGCTTGGCTTCAGACCTTTTTTCTCTTCCTTTTGCTTTCTGAATCAGTAGCTGCTCAAACAGCAGAGTCATCCCGGAGCAGACCTCTTTGCATTACTGCAGCTTAGAATAAATGCCCTTTTTTTTTTTTTTTTTTTTTTTTTTTTGAAAGAGGTGGCTGCAGAGATGCTGGTTTTGTTTCTAGATCAGCCACTTACTGCAGGTCGGAGCACGAGCTGTGCCTGAGCAGGAAGCACAGGGGGACGAGTCCGTCTGTCTGCTGACAGCTCTCGTGCAGGCGGAGGAGGGGGAGACAGGCCAGCGCGTTCCTCACTTATTCTTGGAGCAGTTTATTTATATCCCACCCCTCCTTTGAGTCTAATTAAGGTATTTGTGAGGTGACGCAGCCTTTCGGGCCCTTATTTTGCCTGTCTCTGAGCGGGGTGAGGGTATGTACACCACTGACTCACCCAGGACTGATTGTGCAAACTGTGCCTCGAGGTCCTGAAGGCCAAGGAACTAAATGAGGTCATTATTTGTTCTGGTCCTGAAGGATAGGAGGATTGCTGAACTTGAAGAAAAGACGAAGGCTCTTCAGAAAGGAGAAGGTAAAAATTGTGCTACCCTTGGCACCTCGCTCCTACCTGTGGGAGAGCTACAGAGCTCCTGGTGCTGCAACAGAGCAGGCTTGGCGACCGCCTCTCCGAGCCACCCTTGCCTTAAAAGCCCAAGAGCCTCTTCGGCGAGCGGCATCCGTGATGCACACGTGGCACCGTTTGCCAAAACAGATCCGCACTTTATACTCGCATCTGTCACTCGGCTTTTCTGGTGCAGCGCAAAACGTTATTTCCTGACCTATTTTCTAAGGGTTACTAAGTTTCCACAAGCATAGACCAGCCGCACAGATACCTCGAGATGGTCAGAAAAAAGGACCGGTAAGTACTGCAGAGTTCAACAGGCTGAAAAACCAGGGCTACTCGCAGCTAAGCGAAACCAAAAATGGACTTAGAGTCTCGAACAGTGTTACAGCTCCAGGCTCGCTTGTCCCATAAGGCAGCCTAACTCTGCCCTGAGCCCGGCTTTGAGCGAGTCACTGAAGGTCTCCCCCTTCACTCAGTTCCTTGGAATTCAGCAGCTCTCCAGCCGAGCCCAGACACGTTTCCTACCATGGCTGAACTACCTTGTTAGCACAAAGCTGTGGTAAGTTCCCCGTTTCCTGAGCAGAGAACAAGAATAAGCCTGTCAAGCCACAAACATGTTTTGTACCTCATCGTGCATTGTTCTAGCCATTCAGCCTACGTTTCTGGATCCAGCTTTACTGGGCACCTGCTCATTTTTTTAATAGGTCCCTTAAGACTGAGTAAGCCAAGCAATTCACATTGTATAATGGCAAACAGCACTGCTCACATCAGCTTCCCGCAGCATAAAACTTCACCAGCATCGTTCACAGCTATCTTTTAGTCTGTCAGCAGCTCTGTCGAACTGCTGCAGGTTGGATTGCCAGGGACCAGCAGGCAGAGCTCACGTTCAGCTCCTGTCTCGTATGGGCTTGAGTTCCCTTACGGCACAGGCAGGTACTGCGGGGCATGGGCGCTGCGTGAAGCCGGTTATCTATAGCTCCTCTTTAAGGCTGTACACAGTAAACCCGAGTCTTCCCTTTCAGATGCTCCTGACTCATCCACAGCAGAGGAACTGGAAATTCGGTGCCTTCAGCTGCAGACGCAGGTCTGGGAGATGGAGGTGAGAGACCTGCTTCGCTTGCCCTAAGCCATCTGCACCTTTGGTTTGAGATCGTCGCAGTCCCAGGCTGCTCGGTCTTCTTCAAGCTGCTACTTTGATCACCACAATTCTTCACCTCAGCCCTCTAAAAAGAACAAACAGGTTGGATGTGAGCTACAGGGCAGGAGGAGGGTTTTTTTTAACACATAAGCATCTGTGCCTCCTGCAAGCCTCTTCCTTTTGATTTCTAGGACTGTAGAAATATTCTTTGCAGCTACTACAGTCTTGGGAGTTTGCTGTGTCACTACAGATACTTTAATTCTCCCTTTTGCCTACTACTAGTAGAGCTGCTGCTGCTGCTCCCCTGCCAGGGACTTTGTCTGCCAGGGCCGAAGAGCCCCAAATCAAACCTCTTTCACCTCCCCGCTGCTTCTCACGGTCACAGCTGACCACTCTCCGGCTTCCATTTCGAGTTTTCTGAAGCTCTAGTCGACAACGCTGACTTGTACTTTCCTCTTACAGCGGTTTCTAAATGACTATGGCCTGATCTGGGTTGGAGAGAGACATGAACAGCCGGAAGATTTAGAATCGCTCAAGGATGAAGAAGAGCTGCCAGCAAGGAGCCTCTGGAAGCCAGGTAAAGCAGCAGCGCCCTTTGCTGAAGCAGCCGTCCTGGCTCCTGCTGCATGCTTGGAGAAGGCGTGATACTCCCCAGAGCAGATAAGCATCACAGGCCCACAATCTGGGTCTCCGGAATTTGTGATCCTGTGCTGAGGTCTCCACGTCGGCCCATCTCAGGGACAGAGACGCAGAGCAATTTAACAGGAGCTAAGCCAGGCAGAACACCAGTACTTCATACACCTGTATTTCACAAGCCCCGTCCGGGGCAGAGGAGGGAACCCGATGGCTCAGCCATTGGAAGGACCCCTGGCAGCAGCTGCTTCCTGAGGAGTTCACATACCCGGAGCGTTTGAAGCGCGATTGCTCTAACACCACTGACGTAAAATGGGTGGAAAACGGAATCAGATGCTTTGCGTATATAGTAGCTGTAGTAACTTACCCATATTGTCTGGCTCCATCAGAGTATTGTTTGCCTTTCCTCCCAACCACCACGTGAGTGGTTTAATTGAGACCTGACTGTGCTGTATGGGGGCCAAGCATATTTGGCAATGGATTCTTAGGAAGCGGTAACAGAGAAAAAAAGACTACTACTTGGGCTGTACAGCCAACGCCGCTTCCTAACCACCACGCAATATCAGCCAAGTAATCCTTCCCTCCCTTAGATCCAGGAGGGGAGAAGGTGGGGGAAACAGTAGAAATAAGTTTCATTGTTTTCAGCTCACTTGCCCTTTTTAAGGGGTATTTCCCCCCCCCCTCCTTTATCGAATTGTAGAAAAGCAGAACAGAAAACAGCAAAGGCTTTGCCTCTGCCTACACCTCTTCTTTCATTTCCTCTTCTGATTTCATTCTTCTGTCCCATCACAACTTTTACTGTTTCACCCTCCACCCTCCTCAAGCACCCAGATAAACGCCCTCAGCCACGTCCCACCGAGAGCGAGCAATCTGCCGCGGCAGGCGCGGGCAGCCCGCTGCGCTTACACCGGCAGAGCCTGCCCTGATCCATTTATCCAATCGAGTTAACCCAACTCGTTAAGTTCCTCGCCCTGCGCGTTTTACAGCACCGCGTTAAGGGACAACACAACGCTTCTGGAATTGCAAGCAAAGACGACGAGCTGAGCGTGGTCTGCAACGAGCTGGCTGCATCGGGAGCTGGCTCGGGCGCGACGCTGCCTGCGGCAGGGCGGGTTCCCTGCTGCCCTGCCCTTGTGGCTTCGCGCACACCCCTGCGAACCTGGCAGCGCTGCACCGCAGCGGCGGCCTTGCACCACGCTTGGCAAAAGTGTGAAAGGCAAAGCATGGAGCGGCAGCACAGACAGCCCAAAAATGTTCGGACTCGAACGCACCTCAAATTCACACAGAGGTGAAAGCTGCTCTGCTGGCATCCCCTTCCCCCGTAACTCTGATCCCTCTGCCACAGGTGAAGCACGTGTCTCCAAACACCAGATTGATTTTGATTTAATCTTGGAAAACGTGAAGGATTTGAACGTGCTGGCCGGAGAAGGAGTTTCTCAAATCGAGCACACGCCTGGGGGTGCTCGGCTGAGGCAGCCAGAACCCCTCCCTCTTACGCTGTACCGAAACGGGATCGTCATGTTCAACGGACCCTTTCGGCCCTACGAGGACCCATCAGCGCAGGTATGGAGAGGTCTGAGGAGGAATTAGAGCCACCCTTCCGTCATTCACTGAGCCTCGGGAAAGGGCACGTGTAGGACTAGGGCTTGTGAGCTCATCCCAGCCCTAGAAAGGAGCAGCTACCGAGACCTCCAGCTTCTCACCTGCCTTCTCCTGGTGCCCGTAAGAGCTGGCATGTCTTCGTGTAGGACTTTTGAGAGATGGAGATTCCGGGTCTTTGAGGCAGACTTTGCTGCACGGCAATACCACCACAAATAGGAGCAGCCCAGAAAGAACATACCAGTCATGGGAGAAATGGGGAGGCTGAGGTATGACCACGAGCTCTCCTTCTGTTTCAGCAATGCCTGCAGGACATTGTGGATGGCTATTTCCCTTCAGAGTTGCAGATGCGCTACCCAGACGGCATCCCCTTGCAGGTGAGCAGTGCAAAACCCTAGTCAGCAGCTTTTTGGAAGAAATTGTTCCCTTGTTTCCCCAAGAAAATTGTTTGGGTTTCTTTCACCAATCTGCTGGATGCTTCCCACAGCAAATTAAGTTTGAGGTTTCTGAGCACAGCAAACACGCGGCTTAATTCTGCGCACGTGTGCCTCGGGAGGGGGTGGCCGGGAGCACACCTGCTGCAGCCGTTACAGGAAGCGCCGAGCGTTTCGGCGTTGGGACTGAATGGTTTCTCTGCCTCGGTGAGTCTTGGCTTGGAACGAGACTTCTAAGAGCACAACAGGCTTTGCGGAGGAGCAGTAGTACGTGCAGCATCTGAAGAGTGGGGTAACAAAAAGGAGAAAAAAAAACATTCTCAAATAGTTCCCCTGGAAAAGCTTTTAAAAACAGTTTGAACAAGTATCTCTCAAGGAGGATGTCGGGAGAGTTTATTTTGCCACAATTTAAACGGATTTGGCCACCTCAGGTTCTTTTGGGCCCCACTTTTTGATTTCTCAGAAATGGCAAAAAGCCAAGGCCACGTTTTCAGGCAGAAAGCAGGCAGAGAGCCTCAGAGGACTCTAATCTAGGTCTTCAAGTGCATCCGAAAGGGGAGCAGGCACCACGGAGGGGTGCACCTCCCCACGGCCACGCAGGGAGCGGGGCACGACTGCACGGGCTAGTGCGGGGTCAGGCCAGCCAGAGCGAGCGGGCGGCTGGGGAGTTCGAAAGTGGGATGGAAGAAGGATTGTGCAAGGCTCCTGGGGCTGTGGTCCCCTACAATCCGCGCGTAGCTGGCCACGTCTGGGTGCCACAGGGCAGTAATCTGGGGTAAAGAGAGACACAGAGTGCATCCCCCTGCGGCACGGACAGCCAGTGCAAGCGGAGCCAGGCAGAAAGCCTGCCCGTCTCCAGCCTTCCCCGCTGCCAGGGCCGCGGGGCGGCACGCTGCCTTCCACCGTTCGCTGGAGCCGTCTGCCCACCCCGCTGCAGCCTCGTGCTGCCAAAGCCCTCTCCCCAGCCCGCTGCTTTCACATCACTTTCCACCCGGAGAGCGCTTTCAAGCGTGGAAGCAGACGCAGAGGAAAGGCCAGGTCCAAGCACGTTTCTCAGAAGCTCACGGGAAGGAGCAGCCGCCCAGTGCCTGGTGTCTGATGAACCCTGCGGTCTGGGTGGGCCACCCCGGGGACCTGAGGGATCCGCCAAGATTTGCTTTGTTAGAGAGCCTATAGGAGCCAAAAATGCATTTTGTTGAGTTTGGACAGCCTGAGCAGCTTCCAAGGAAGCAGCTGTCTTGGTTTCATTTGGGGTTTACAACTCTCAATTATCGTTGCTGTGCTTTATTGCGCTCCGCTGTGAGAACGAGCTTGCGCAACAGTGATTTGCTTATGGCAGCCGGCCTTAACTTGACAGGTCACTGACAGAAGGGACGTGGTATTTCGGGAGAGACACCTTCCAGGGAGTTTTCCTGGCCGCGGCCAAGCGGTTGGCCATTCAAAATCAAGCGAGGTGCAGGAAACCACTGAGATCCCAGGTAAATTCTTAAACCTGCCTTAAAAATGCAGCTGGCTCCCAAAGAGGAGACTCGAAACCTTACCGGGGAAGTCCAGCTAGCAGGAGGTGAATGCGTAGGCTCTCAGAGAAGAAGGCAACACTGCTGGATCAAAGCCCTGCACTTGTAGCCCCAGTGTTGCTCCAGGAGCTGGGAGCCAGGCAGCACACGCGGTGTTCTCTCACCGTTAAATCCGCTGAAGGAATGAGACCTGACAAGCCATAAAAGACCAGAAAATCGGCGGGTTTCCAAAACCACATCTGCCCTGCACCTTTCTGAAAGGCCAGGCTCCTTCCAACCTCACCCTTATCAGCATCAAAGGATGCCGAGGAAACCAGGCAGCTCTGGGGGAGCGTCTTGCAAACCTCCGCTCTCCTGCAATCCCATTCCGTAAAGGTTCTTCAAGCCAGACCAATCTTAACCGCACCACATACGGGCCGATTCCTCTTCAGACTTTCATAAGAGAATATGGACACAGGCCACAGATTCCTCATTTTGCTTTGAGACTCTAGCAGTCTGCACAAGCAAGAGCTGTCAGGGCTGGAAAGCCAAATGCAGTCAGCCATATACACAGAAAACAGCGGGTTTGTGCACACATAACTAAACCTGAACATGTGCATCGCCCGTCAGCAACATCTTCCTATTTATATAAAACCGTACTGCTTGCTCATTCATCTCACGGCCATTCACAAACAGAAGCTGTGCTAAATGTTTCCTTTATCCAAGTAGTAAAAACCCCAATTGCCCAGGGGCACCACAGAAAAAGGAGTGGACACCTACAAACACACCCTCACAGGGGGAAAAACTTTCCAACTCTGTAAGAATTGTCAGCGTTGCAGTTTTTCCCGCTGACGGCAGGGCCAACCAGGTTCCTACCCGCTGCGCGTCCCAGCCGCGCGCCGAACGGGCTGCACGGCTGCTCGCTGCTGCTGGTGACAATCAGACGTTTGGTGGGCCAGAAAGTGGGACAAGCTTCAACGGGGAGACCGAGAGCCAGGCTCAGCCTCGCTGGGGGAGCTTAGAGCTCTCCCTGTCGGCTGTTGCGTGCTCTCATTTCACCAAATCGGCCTGTTCTGGGTGAAAATCCTTTGTCAGGAAGGTCACCCATGGCCACATCTCCCCTCTGCTCCGGCAGGTCCCGAAGTCTCCTTGGGGCAGTTGCTCAGTAAGCTTTCCGAGCCCTTGAACCATGGAGGAGAGGCGCTCGGTGCCCGCGGCTCAGCCAGAGCAGCACAGCAGGTACGAGCGGAGCCCCCAGACACCCACAGGACGAGGCCGGCAGCAATTCCCTGGGCTCAGCGCCCTGTGCAGCACCGGCACCCCCTCCTCAGGCCTCTCGGCTCCGCATAACCGCCCGCTCCCAGCGAGGCTCTGCCGGAGCACCCGCAGCACCGTGGCACCTGCTCCAGGGCCTCGCTGGCACCGGTTGCTCCCCGCGCGGAGCAGGCAGCGGTGACGCTCCCCTGGTTTGGTTTCAGGGCCCTGGTGGGGTGCGGAGCAGCAAAGGGATCCTCGTGGAGACGCCCAGGCTGTCTGCCCTGGAGAGGTACAGGCACGTCCCCCAGAGCCCTGCCCCGTCAGGCTCTTGTCGTCCTCCCATTTCCTCACTGCGGGTTTATTCCAGGGGTTTCAGCTGAGTAAAATGGACTTCCCCTTTCATATCTTAGAAATAATTGTGAAAAAAGGCCAAGGCTGGCCTTTTGGGAAGACCACTGAATTGTTCATGCTAAACCTGCCATCTTTTACATCTGTAACAAAAACTTCTGTTGTTCAAAATGCTCCTTATTGCTGTGAAATACTTTTCCCAACAGCAAGCCAAGGCCTAGGAGTTTGAAACCACCTAAGCAGCTGTTTGCGGTCACATTAAATGGGAGAATCCCTCCAGGAAGCCGATGCCCAAGTGGGAGGTCACGCTAACAGCGCTTTTCCACTCACAGGCTTCTGGCAAGACAAGACCCAAATAGCTAATGAAAAAAACCCCCAAGCAGATTATTTTTAATCAAAGAAGTAGGGCGAGGTACTCACCAGACAGCCCTGATCTAAAATGAAAAAGCTAAAAAAGGTCAGCAACCCTCTTCCCAAGGCACCTTTAAGCAGGCAAAGCAAAGCAGCAGCGTGGTCCGTGGGTCGGCCCGCTCGCCCGCAGTCAGACGGGGGCCTCCTTCACCTCAAGGACGTTCCCAAACGTGACACTCCTCTCCCCCGTTCGGATCGCCCCGGGGCTCTGCCCGCTGACTACAGCGCAGCCCCTGTGGCCGGCAGAGCCCTCGCTCCTCCGCTGACGAGGTTTCCCAACCTCCAGGGGGAAGACGGCCAAAGAGGCTGAAGCTTCTGCCCCCGACGTCTGCACTCTCCGCATCAAATCTGAGAGCGGGGAGCAGACGTACGTGGTCAAGATGCTGTTCACGGAGACCATAGGGGACCTGCGCCAACACCTTGCCCACGCCAGGTAGGCCGGGGATTCCTTCCCTCCTCGCTCCCCAGCCGGCTCCGTCAGGCCCCAGGGAAGGTTTCTCGGCTCCGCTCGAGCCCTGGAGCTGTGCGTCAAACAGATCAGCCTGAGCCTCCGCTGCTTCGCCCCCACTGCCGGAGATCCTCTCTGGGCAGCACCGCCAGGCTCACGCTTAGCTCGGTGTTTCATACCCACCTTTGCCAAAAAGCTGACACAGCAGCAGAGAGAAGCCTCTTTTGTGCTCCCAAAATTTGCCATCTGACCCAGGTCCATCGCTGCCTTTGCCTCCTTCCAGCTGCTCAGCAGCGCTCGCCTGACTATTGCCACCGTTCCCAAGGCGCTGGTGCAGCTGGAAGCTGAGCTGCAGCCTTCGGCTTGGCTGATGGATCCGCTGCTGGGCGAACACCACCCTTTGCTCAGCCAGCTCTATATCCCACCGCGTTTAGTGCTGCCGAAGGGCTCGCACGTCCCTTTGGGGACAGCCCCAGACGGCTGAGGGGACCCCTTTGCTCTCCCTACTCCTGGGGCAGCCGTAGCTCACAGCCCACGATGAGCTCGCTGCTGTTGGGACGTGAGATCCTCCTTCCCCACTGCAGCTGTGCGGCCTGGAACGGCCGCTCCGTGCCTGGCTCTTTGCAGTTCGGGCGGGAAGCCCTTTTTTCGGCTCAGCCTGCGCTTGCGAAACAGCCTCTCCCTCCGCTCTTACGTAGCGGCAGCTGGATCGGCCAGAGCATCCCAGCAAAACCTTGGGGGATCCTGCGCGTAGGAAAGACTGTGCTGTTCTGTCCTAGGGGTGGAGACTCCGACGCGTATGAGATCATCAGTACCTTTCCCCAGAGGGTGTACGCGGACAACTCCAGGAGCCTGCAGGAATGTGGCCTGATCCCCAGTGCCTCCTTGCTGCTGCGGAGAAGAGACCCCTCCCAACAAGGGGGGACGGGGCTGCAAACAACTTAACAGCCCCGAGCAAGAGCCGCTCGCCCCCAGCGCTGCGGGAGGCAGGAGCTGCCTTGCACCCTCAGCTGCGTTATAACCTCCCCTGGCTGGAAAGAGAGGAGACGGGCGTCTTTCTTGATTTTGGTTCATTGCGCCGTTACCTGGGACGGAGAGAAGAGCTCGGAGGCAGCGCTTTGGCCTCTCCCTTCGGCAGAGGGTGCCAGGCCCAGTCCTGCTGCCTCGCAGGCGGATGCTTTTCCCCGGGACAGGTGGGCTCCTAACACAGGGGCGATTCTGTCGGCTCAGACCGCGGCCTGGTTTCTCCCCTCTGCCGGAGGTTACGGAGGCTGATCCCTGCCCAGGGAAGGCCGCCAGCTTTACACTGGTACCGGGCAGTGGCTTAGCTGGGCTCAGGGATTCTCCATAGCAGCAGGACAGACAAACAGCCAGAGTCAATTTGCTTTCCACACACAGCTGCTCCCCGGAGATTTCAACCGCGCTTACACCACGAGAGAACCAGGCTCGGTTACATGGTCCCTGGTGAAGCTAAAGCAAAAGGCCTTGAGCCGTTGCAGTGCTGGGACTGAGCCAGACCCGTCCCCGCCAGGAGATCCCGCTGCTGGGTTTCCTGTACGTGAACAACTCCTTCCCTTGGCCAGCCCCCAGCTCCAGCGGGGCGCAGGCTCGCAGCCACGCCGGGCCCGCAGCGCGCTGCCCGCCGT